CAGGGGGTGTGGCATATGCAAATAAGTTGTGCTAATGATCTCCTGCACCTCTTTTTCTACGAAACGACCCCTGCTCAGAGGTATAACACAGAAAGATGGGAGTACTCCCTGTTTCAAGGTGAGAAGAAAAAAATGGTAGGCAGGTAATTTATATCAACTCAGGAAGGTGGGGTAGGGCTGAGTCATTTATCTTGTAGGTGCTTTTGTGTTCGACCTCTGAGGATGCCAGTCGCAGCTGCTGGCGAAACGTCAGGTCCTACGATGCCAAGACCATGGCCATACAGGCCAGAATATCTACAACAACTAATGAACTCTGGCTGTGAAAGCCTTCGACAACATATTGAGAGAGCAATATTTTATCTGGCCGCCCCATGTTTTCTCATTGTGCTCTCCCCCCCCCCAATCCATCACACAGCATTAATGATAAGACCGGCAAGGGCAAAGCGACGCAGCAGTTGACCCCGATGTGTGAAGTCATGGACAGTAATGAAGGAGAAGGGGTGGAGAAGAAGGACGAAGAAGGCGATGCGGAGCTGGACCTCTCGAGCCAAGGGGCCACCAAGAAGGTTGTGCCTGGCATCATCTACCTGGGTCACATCCCTCCCCGCTTCAGGCCCCGGCACGTCCGCAACCTCCTGAGTGGCTACGGTGAGGTGGGACGTATCTTCCTGCAGCCTGAAGGTGAGCGTGTGGTCCTTAACGGGAGGGAGGGAGGGACAGAGGGAGGCAGGGTGGTGGTGACGGTCGGGTTAGCACGGATAACAGGAAGTACCTCTTCACCCAAAGAGTGATTCACACATGGAATTCACTGCCACAGGAAGTGGTGGCAGCTACGAGCATGGACGGCTTCAAAAGGGAATTAGATAGGCATATGGAGCAGAGGTCCATCAGTGGCTATTAGCCACAAGGAATAGATAGGGGCTCTGGGGCAAGTGATGCTCTGTCTTCTTGGTGCTTGGGGGGGGGCAACAGTGGGAGGGCTTCTAATGTCCTGGCCTCACTGGTGGACCTCCTGATGGCACCTGGTATTTCTGGCCACTGTGTGATACAGAGTGTTGGGCTGGATGGGCCTTTGGCCTGATCCAACATTGGCATCTCTTATGTTCTTATGTTCTTATTTTGTGTGGTTAGGTGTGATGTAGTTTTAAATTCCTTCTTGTTTCTTTCTCTCGCTCCAAACACCTATCACGGCCACCAGGAATTTAATTCCATTCTTTAATCCACCTTTCCCACAGTATTGTGCCCAAGCTGTAAGGCTCCTTCGTTGGACTATGTGGCTCTGAGGATCTTATATTTTAAACAGCTCATGACCAGTGTTCCCTCTAAGCTGAGTTCGTGTGAACTAGCTCGCAGTTTTTTAGCCTCCGGCTCACAGATTTTTGTCTTCGCTCAGGAAGGAGGTCTCCAGAAAACTAATTGATGCAGCAGCCAAATCGCTCACTCACGACTTTAATGCTAGGAGCTCACAAAGGAGAATTTTTGCTCACAAGACTCCACCGCTTAGAGGGAGCGTTGCTTATGACTCTGGGTTAACACTAAACAAGATAAAACTTTATTGGTAAAAGAAGCGTATTGGTTACAAGACGCTTTGTTAAGCTGCTTAGTAGAATGTTTCCCTTTTGCTCTGGTCTCTGCCAGCTTTTTCCCTCCTCACACTCTTAAAATACTCTGACTATATTAGATTTTGCCTAATATGCCCCCTTAAGTATATTTTCTTCTTCCTTTAGAATCTTAATGCCTTTCACAGCACTTCTTTATGATTCTGTTTGGGAAGACTGCTTCTCTGACTTTGTAGAATGATCACAACTGATAGCTGCTGA